CCCTCTCATGTATATGTACATATTTGTAACTTATCAGATATATCAATAAACAAGCTTTGCTTCATTTCAACGTATTGTGTTAAATACACAAAGGCCTTCTTCATTAAGTTCTTTGAAATTTTTCCTTTTGTTGAAGCTTGTATGTTGAAGCTTTGTGAGTGAAGCATGTAGGTTGAGATAGTGCTCCCTTAATTTCCCGAGTGAGGAAAACTTCTCGGTTGGAGACTTGAAAAAATCCAAGTTACTGAGTGGTCGTGAGACTTCCGAGTATCAAGGTACAGTAGCATATGGTAGGAGTCTCCCAAGTCTCCGGTCGATGGAGTTGATGAATGAGGTGTCTTGCTAGTAGCCAAGTTTCCAAAGTAACAAAATTTCACCATTTTCCTTTCTAAGTGGTAGCCCAAAACTCCTCTTTCATATATATTTGTTATGAAAGTTGTTAGGCCTAAAGAAGCTTCTTGTCAATAATAGTTCTAGAGCCTATACTCTTTCCAGGAATGATCATTCCGCAAGCTCACTTTCTTTTGTCCCTTCCCATATCGGTTTGACTGACGTAAAGCTGATGGCTTATCGATTCCTTTTATGTTCAAGTATGCAAGGCACCTGATAGTGAGGTCTTGTCTAGTGCAGATCAAGCCATTTGATTGTGTGCTTAAAGGCTTGAAGGGGATATGAGGGAGAGACTTGGAGAGAGAGAGAGAGAGGTGATGTAGTGCTGTTGATGAGCTTTCGGTTTTCTTGTTGTTGATTTTAGCGACGGAGAGAAGCTTTTCGCTCTGATTCACATCCATGGAGGTTAGCAAGTCGTTGAGCTGGTCGACCATGTCCTCAAATAAGCCATTGCAGACGGCTAGAACTTTCTCCAAGTGGGCATCGTTGACCTGGTTCATGACCCGACTCATTCATCCCCTCCTTCAGGTTCGAGAGCGAAGCGCCCCCATATCTTCTTCTCATAGATTTCACTGCATTTACAGACACTGTTGTAGTCTTGCTCGAGATCGGCGAGACGTGGAGCTCTCCTCTTCATCTAGGCCGAGGGACTGCAGAACTCTTCCTCCACTATCAACAGCCGTCACTTTGTAGGAGGATGTTGTCGTGGAGCGAGAGAGGTGAGAAGTTTGCAAACACACCAATTTGCTCTTAACTGGCCAGCCATGGCTAAGAGAGAAGTAGAGAAAGAGAAGTGAGATGCTCTTGAATACCGTGTTAGAAGCAGCAAGTCGAAGGGGGCATTCAAAAGCAGCTAAAGGAGCAGACGTTTTGAGCGATTAACATCGAAATCGCAAAGAGCAGCAGCCAGCATTTTAATCGTTCGAGCCGATCCATTGAGCGAACTGGGGCGAGACGGCGTAGATCGGCGAGCGAGTTGAGCTGAGATATTAACGCGATCTGAAACCAAAAGCCTTTTTTCTCTCTCTGTTTGGTAATGATGAGGACAAATCAGAATATTGGTGTGATGTTTGGTTCTTAGGTTTCTGCAGATTCACGGATGAGTGTGGTGAGGTCTCACGGTGGTGAGATAAAAAAATGAAAGAGAACCGACATAACTTTTCGTGTTGATTCCCACAGACGGCCACAAATGTTGATGCACAAAACCGGAGGGGTCTTGGAACAACGTAAATCCGACAGTGAATCTGCAAGAAAGTAAATAACACAAGATGTATCGTGGTTCACCCCAATGTTTGGACTACGTCCACACTGATATTGTATTTCTCTATTTGTGAGAGGACTGTGAGGGAAAAGAGCTTCTCAGAGAAAGAGAGCTTTGTAATGTGAGAATGAGGCTTTGGGAATCTCAGGCCTAAGAATTGGCCTCCTCCAATGAGGAGAGTGAGGAGTCATTTTATAGAATAAGGGCTCCTCACTTATTACATATTTGCTCATTCATTTATTACATAATTACATTTGAGTCCCCCGAGTATTTATACGAGATCTAAATATGGAGGCCCTAAGTATGGTACAAACATTGCTCATAATTCGATGCAACATGATATAGAACCAAGCATGTAGAGGTTGACAAGTTTTTTTATTAAAGAAAAGATACAACAACAACAACAACAACAAAGCCTTTTCCCACTAAGTGGGGTCGGCTATATGAATCCTAGAACGCCATTGCGCTCGGTTTTGTGTCATGTCCTCCGTTAGATCCAAGTACTCTAAGTCTTTTCTTATAGTCTCTTCCAAGTTGTCTCCTAGGTCTTCCTCTACCCCTCGGCCCTGAACTCTGTCCCGTAGTCACATCTTCGAACCGGAGCGTCAGTCGGCCTTCTTTTGCACATGTTCAAAATCACCGGAGCCGATTTCTCTCAATATTTCCTTACAATTTCGGCTACTCCTACTTTACCTCGGATATCCTACGTTTCCACATCTTATCCTTTCTCGTGTGCCCACACATATCCCACGAAGCATCCTCATCTCCGCTACACCCATTTTGTGTACGTGTTGATGCTTTACCACCCAAACATTCTGTGCCAGCAATACAACATCGCTAGCCTTATTGCCGTCCTATAAAAATTTTCCCTTGAGCTTCAGTGGCCTACGACGGTTCACACAACACGCCGGGATGCATCTTTCCATCCAGCTCGTATATTCTATGGTTGAGATCTCCATCTAATTCTCCGTTCTCTTGCAAGATAGATCCTAGGTAGCGAAAACGATCGCTTTTTGTGATCTTCGCTAGATTGCTCCGGTCATTAGTGTGGGGCATAACGTTCATGTATACAATGATGATTGGTACGAGAGAGGTTACTTAGCACGGCAAATAATTAGTTCACTTGACGGGAAAACCGGAACCCTTTATCCTATATAAGAAATATGGGACTCTATTCAACCTTTCGTAGCCGCCGGTTCACCAGCCCAGATTTGCGCTACGTCGCCAAGGCCCGCGCAAAACCGCCTACGCCACAAAGCATCACTATCATACAGTACCATACATTGTAGGGGCCTCTGTGCATTAGGCCTCATGAAAGCATGGGAGTGGTTGACTCTTAGCCCCATTAAAAATATATTCTATGTGTATTGAGGGAGTGGGAGACCCTTCTATACTATAGAGGCAACCATCTCACCATTCATTAGGGAGGAAGGTGAGCATCGCTCCGTTACACACTTCAGACACAGGCGGTCAAAGCTCTCATTCTAGTGAGTACAAAGTGACTTCGATGATTACTGTTTTTTAAGGCAAGTACCACCACAAAGACATTAGGCATTACCGCGAAATTGAATTCATCATCCCTCTAGCCATTATTCTGTTTCAGGAGCGAGCCCTTATTCTATAAAAGGGACTCCCTCACCTCTAACCGAACAGCCCCTCACCTCCATCACTTCATGTTGAGCATCACCACATGTCAAGTACCAGTTCTAGACAACTTCTAGTTACTTTGGCCCACACATGGACTGGATTTCAAGTCTCCAGCCAAAAGACTCTCTTAACTGAAGACTTGGGGGACTACTGTTTATACCATATTTAAGGCCTCCGTATTTAGACCTCGTATAAATACTCGGGGGACTCAAATGTAATTATGCAATAAATGAAGAGGCAAATATGTAATAAGTGAGGAGCCCTTATTCTATAAAAGGGACTCCTCACTCTCTTCACAGGGATAGCCAATTTGAGGCGAAGGTTGAGGCTAGAGAGAGATCCATCAAAATAGGCCTTTGGCCTCCAGAAATATATTAACAACATCAGTGTGGACGTAGCCCAAACATTGGGATGATGAACCACGATACATCTTGTGTTATTTACTTTCTTGTAGATTCACGGTCGGATTTTTGTTGTACCAAAGTCCTCACTGATTTTGTGCATCAACAAATGGTATTGCCAAAATTCTTTCTTATTTTGTTCCTTTTGTAATTAGGGTTGTAAGATTTTCATATGTATGTAAATATATCGTATATACATTTATAACTTTCTATATGTTTTATACGGTTTTAAAACCCGCAGCATTGCGCAGAGACACTTTTGCTAGTAAAGGAGCTAAATCTAGAGTGGACTGTGAGTTAGTAACCATTCTGCACACTTAGTTTGGCCTCTTGCCCACCCTTGTTTTTCTCTTATTAATTATTACCCATTGAACTGCCAAATCAACGAAGAATCAACGGTCAAAATTAAAAGGAGTATACGGAACATAAAAAATTCCTAATTAGAGGGTATTTGGAAAATAGCTCCTGTGGTAAAAAAAATATAAAAAAAAAATTTAAATCCCTTGTAGTGAAGTCCGTTAGGATTTAAACCTAAAAAACAAATTTCCGTTATCTTTGTGTTAACCCCAAAATCAAAACTTCATATTTCTGTGAATTTATGCACTCCCTTCGTTGTGGCTCAATATAAATGCTTCAATGATTAATCCAATCAAGTAAAAATGTAATTCTATATTGATCCCTTGTGTTTTCTTTATTCCTAAATTGTTTTCGTGCATGTTTGGGAGAGGAAGTAGGCTCTGCATCTGTTTGTAAGGCCCTCCTTCTCTCTATGATCTCCTCATTTCTGTTTCTTTCCCATAATGTGAGATGACATTGAAGAACCAGTACGGCCCTCCTTCCCGGAAAAATAGGCGCAATGATTACTTGATTGAATTTGAAGAAGATTCTTTCAACCATGAGTGAATTTCCAGTGAGCCACAAACAGGAGAAGGAACACCAGTGAAGGAGGTACACGATGAAGATGCACGACACAGTAACAACTGATGAAGGGGAACAAAACCTAACGGCACATAATGACTTAAATATAGCGAAATGCGGGAAAAACCAGTGAAGGAGTAACACAATGAAGATGCACGAAAGTAACAACTGATGAAGGGGAACAAAACCGAACGGCACATAATGACTTAAATATAGCGAAATGCGGGAAAATGCATGAAACCCAAATGTAGAGATTCAGGATCCTAACCCCTTAAAAAAAAGGGAAGCTTAACAGAGAAACTAATGAAAATTTTGATTTTGGGCTTAATTCCTAACGAAGTTCACCACAAAGGTTTAAATCTGAATTTTTTTACCACATGACTATCTTCTGAATATCCTATCATGAGGAACATTTATCCAATTAGGCCTAAAAAAATGTGCATACATCAGTTCTCGTGTTACAAACCCGTGTTTCTCTTTTCAAATGCCAATTTTATTCAATCAACGGGCACTTACAACACTTCAAAGTTTCAAACTTATTTCCCTGATGGACAAACTGATATCGTTTATGGCATTCGTGTCTCTCGTTTCTCTTCCCTCCTATGTTCAATAAACCGACATCTCCTACTTCTAGCATAGCAGCATACTGTCGTGAAGTGACCCCTTTATCCATTGCCTCGCGTGTGGCGTATCTTGAGCGTTGAGCCTAAAGAAAATTCATTCTACTTGGTATTTTGATCCCTGCCCGCTTCAGAATTTCTGCGGAAGCTTGCTTTGCCTTTGCAAGAACTTCTTCCTGTCCATTTATAATTGGCACCCGTAAGTAAACAATGAAATTTTAGGGCCTGGCTATCCGCCATTAGTCTTCATTTGTATGTCTAACAAGCGAAAAGTATGACAGAATACCTCATCCACGTTCAAAATCTTCTTATCCTTCATAATCCACAGACCATTGCACATTACAGAGACTACATTTTCGGTTCGCATACTGTACACAAGGCTGGAAATGCTGCATATGTAGCAAAAGGAAAAGATTAATCTACCTGAATAAATGGCTATGTTGCAGACAAACAAAACGATTTTTTTATACAGATTAGATTGGAACCAGATCCGCTGAAAAGCCAAAAAACTGCCTTAGAAAATCATGGTTCCAACTTTAAGGGTATTTGATTGAAATAAAATTACTGCATATGATTCCTTCGGGGATGGTTCTTACCTGTCATGGAGAGGGAACCATGGTCCAAGAGGAAGGATTGATAACAACCAAGTCAGCCTGCCAAATCATGGAAGAAGGAAGCTAATCAGCCTCGTGTTTAAAATTCGTTGAGATATGCACAAATGTGTATGGTATGGCTTTACTTAAAGAGAAAGCTGTATAAGAGATGAAGCAGAAGGACAAGAGAAACTAATTGGAGCTAGCCAAAAGTCCAACCTTTTTGCCGACCTCAAGGGATCCTATTTCATTATCCCAAAAGTACTGATTTTGCACCATTTATAGTCACCAACTCAAGAACTGTTTCAGCAGGAAGAGCAGTAGGATCAGTAGTTCCATTTGTATGAACTTCCCGTCCTTTGTTAATCAGAGAAGCCAGGTACATCTCATCAACTGCAAGGAAGTAAACTGTACATGAATTTCGAGGTCCAACCATCAATGTTTCAATGTGCAAACCCCCAAATAAGGAAAAAATGCAAGAGTGGGCGATCAGAATTTCCACCTATGCTCATTCTGTTATTCGAGGGTGCCCCATCTGTTCCCAAAGAGACACAGATGCCAGCATCCAGCATCTCTCTAATAGGTGCAAATCCAAGCATTCGCATCGCAGCGGCAGGGCAATGAGATACTTTGACCCCGCCCTTGAAAGACAATCAATCTGAAAATACAGAATAACGGCTTCGTACCAGCTAACAAGTTTTTAACCACCAAAGTTATTGATGAACAAGTAATACAATAACATACATAACACTCCAGAGGCTAAAAAGCTCATGATATCTTACTAGTAAACACATACAGCTGCATCTACTCCTATTCTGTATATAAAAATAGCACGAGCAAGAAAAAAACCGCAACTCACCTGAGAAGGATTAACCCAAACTGTGTGGGCAGCTAGCAAATTGTTCTGGAGGAACTGTATATTCTCCAAGTGTGTTATCGTTCCATGGTCAACTTTTCGCGTCTCTGTCACAAATTGATTCTCGTATGCTATCTCTGCAACATGCTAAACAATTGAAAACTTGAGCTAAGTCTATGTAAAAACTTCAAAATCTCTTTGAACAAGTCCAAAATGCTGGTAGAGTTAGTTGAGTATTATACCATGTGGATTCCAGTTTTCAGTTCCTTGGCAGTGTCCCTTGTTGCAAGCAGCAAATCATCAGTTGCATTCATAATCTGCCTAATTCCTAGCCACACTCTGATGCGCCCGTCTCCGGTGTTATGGTGCTTCTTGTAAAGCTCTTTCTGAGACTGTCCTTAAATGTGTGCGAGCAGTGAGTGAGTGAGGACATTAACTTAACAAAACCAACAAAAAAGCATAAAAGAGCT